GCCCAGAGAATAGCCGCTGGAAGAAGTCCGCGTGCGGCTCCATCCCGAGGAGGGCCTCGTAGACGGTGACAAAGCCAGCGATATGCAGCACCCCCATCGGATTGAGGTGCTACAGCTCCAGACCCCACTCATTAAGGAGCCCACGCAGGAACCAGTGCATGGGGTATCCTAACCCGCGCTCATGGAAGGTGAGAAAGGAAACCACCTCGTCGGGCCGAGGTTGCAGGAACTCCTCCTTCCCGGGAGCCCTCCAGTGCGCCACCTCCTTCGGCGGCAGAAACCCCTTCACGGCGAAGGCCTTCAGCACCGACTCCCTCACAGTGCATGACCTCCAGTCCGACATCTCGCACCGGGTTCACGAAAGGATTTGTGAGATTTTCCTCTCCCTCGCTCTCTCCCTTTTCTTTCCTAGGAACTGCCGCGGCTCTCAAAGACACTCCCGGCAAGAAGGAAAATGAGAGGAGGCGGCAGATGGGGAATAGGCGAAGGAATAGGGCAAAAACCTTCTCCCTTCTCCTACTTAAGGAAAAGGGTGCAGCAGGTGGGGAAAGCGCGCCGATCGAGAAAGTCGAAACGACAGAGCGAAAAACCCTCTCCCTTTCCCATTTAATGCAAATGGGATACGATGGGAGGCGCCCTAACCGATGAGACGCACCCTGCCCAACAGAACAGCGCCTGAACAGACGGGACATGGCCTGGGTATGGCCCACCACTACCGCACGCCGGGCGTGAGAACCAAAGCGCCACCGCACACAGGCAACTCTCCGCATCCCCAGGCGGGACTTGCAAAAACCCAAAACAGAATCTCTGCCAGGAGAGACCATCGGGCTTCCTAAAGTCGATCGAACGGCTCAGGAAAACACTGAGAGATAAGTAAGGAGCAAAGGGACACCCCATGTAGGCCATGCCGACTCCGTCACGAACGACGAGCATGGGTCCCGGTCAGACATTTCCGATTGGAGCTCTTCAGACCCCGTCACTCGAGTCATCAAGGTAACACTACCAACCCCAGCTATTTCTTTATATAATCATTCATACATTCATACACGCATTCATTCCATACGCCCGTGCCCCCTGGACGATTCAGGCCCTGAATTGCTCGGGGGCTCAGGGGCTACACCCGTGGGTGCGCTCGCGCGCACCCGCTGACGAAACGAAAACCTCCCCCACTAGCAAGATGAAAAACCCTCCAGACGATTCTGCCTAAATCACCCAGGGGCTCGGGGGCTACACCCATGGGTGCGTTCGCGCGCACCCGCCATCAAGACAAAAATCCCCTAGATGATTATACCCGAATCGCCCGGGGGCTCAGGGGCTCCTGTCGGGTTCATAAACCCAGGGTCCCTTATGGACCGGCTTCTCAACAGAGGCTTGGCCTAGCAGGCAACGTTGCAAACAACGTGCATCTCATGGGCCGGCCTAAGTACCTAAACGACAGGCCAGAAGGGTGATCTAATCACCGACCGGAAGGCCTGGCCGAGAAGGAACGATGCCCATTTCTGACTCTGGCCCCCTTCTCCGACCGAAGCGCTTGCTTCGGTCTCTAGCCCGCCTCCGGATGACCTCTCTGACCGGAGGGCCTAGCCAAAACACCGCTTTCGACTTCGACCCGCGTCTCCGACCAGGGATGCGCCAGACCCCTGCTCACTACTCTTCTCCGACTGGCATGATCGGAGCCGACTAGAACCAACCGACCTGAGACGCCCGCTCGGTAAGGACCAGGAAACAGACGGAGAAAGTAAGGCAGGGCACACGAGTCAAACCTCAATACCGGGGACCGTACCCTATACACCTACAGAAATAGTACTCTGTGACCTCCCTAACACGACATAACCCAAGCAGTGTTGTAGGCGCCGATATTTTCCCCTACAGTATTGTGGGCGCCATTAACTCCCATACGGTAAGGCTCCTCCACATGCCTCTGGGCATCGACAGTGTTGTGGGCGCCGGCATTTACCGTACTAGGCGAACATGGTAAAACCCCTTGCATGCCTCCAGGTATCAATAGTGTGGCAGGCGCCGACATCTGCCATACCCGAAGAAGACAACACAATCTCCCGCGTGCATCTGACATCCAACAGTGTTATGGGCGCCTACCATCATCTTGTACCCGCCAGCGTGGGAAGCAAGACTTAGAGCAAACATACTCCTTCCCTCTCACTTGTAAGGCCATCCCCTTCATCTATAAAAGGGGATGCGCTCTCTTCTAACAGACAAATTCATTAGATCGATCAAGTTCACTAGTACACAACAGTAGGACCACCAGGTTCAAACCACGAGCACACGCTCGAGCACTTAGCTCATAGCGGGGCTCCCATCACTCTCGGCCCTTTCGGCCGGAGTCCAACCGGACCTCTTGTACCCCCCATCTTTCTCCTTCTCGTTTGTAACCCCTCAGGAATAAAGTCACCGACCGACTCAAACTGGACATAGGGCACGTTGCCAGAACTAGTATAAACCCTGTGTCATTGAGTGCTAGGCCACCTCCGATCACAATATACGGCAAAACTACAAATATTTACTTGTTGGTCACTTTCTGCACCGACAGTTGGCGCCGTCCGTGGGGAAGACGCTGTACGTTCAACATGTTTTGGTCATCGGATGGCCCACATTTCTGCCACCTTCGCCATGGCGGGCTCAGGCGATACGACTCACTTTGGCTCACTGGAGTTTTCCGCACTCCCACCTGTTGGGATGTGGGTTCCACCCGTCTCCAAGCCGTCCTAGGCCTTCCTCTTTGGAATCCTGGACTTCGTCGCCAATCAGCTCGGCGTACTACACCTCCACGAGGAGGCACTCGTTCCGGCACCCGTCGGAGGGGCGCCCTCCATCGGCTCTAGGACGCATGATGACTTCTTCTATGAGGCATCTGTGCTTCATTCCGAGCAAACTCTCTGCTCAAACCCTGTAGTGAGTAATGTACATACTGTTATTTACTTGATATTCTCTATCTTCCGCCGATTATCCAGAGGGACCCCGTTGTCCCCGTCGTGACCGCCATGCGACCGGTTCCCCTACGGCCTCACGTCTCCCATGGACGTGTATGCCCGGGGGCTCTGAAGGTTGCCTGCGCCGCCCCCTCTCACGTCCAAATTCATAGGGATGGCGAGCTATGCTCCCACCTATTTCCTCGACCTCATGGATGACGATGTTGAGAGTGAAGGATCGAGCATCGGCGACATGGCGCTTAGCCACCGTCCGTCCCCGGAGTGCGCTATGGCGGATGCTCCGGGATAGCCACTGGTGGTAACGGAGTCCTTGTAGACTCACACCCCTCTGGACCCTTGTGCGGAGACCCCCGCGCTCACACAGAAGCACGGCGAGGAGCTACGACAACAGCGGCTGAACTAGCCGCCGACTACGCCAGCGCGCTCGGCGCCCCACACTGCGCTCCATGCGTAGAAACAGGCGAGCGACGCCTAAGGTCACGCCCGTCAGGTCCAATGCAACACCATGGACAGGGGGAATGATCCCCCACAGTTCGCTCAGGCAAATCAGAACATCGCCGCTGCGGCAATGCTTCTGCGCGGCCTTCCCGAGCCGAATGACCCCCAGGAACAGGCGATCCACCGGAACCTTCGGGCACTAGTGGAGACCGCCGCCGTTCAACGGGTGGAGAGCTCCGCATCGTGACACTGACTCGCGGCCTCTCTCCCCACCAGGGGAGTGGGGACGCACCAGACGAATCGCTCCACCCGCTCGTTGCTACAGTCGCTGAGCGCGGCACAGGAGGCCGTATCTGCGCCTCGTCTTGACTTAGTGACCGCTCCGCACCGATCGCCTATACACGAGCGGCTCGGGCCAAACCAAGATGCTCACAGCGTCATCAGCACCTAGAGTCCTAGCCCGGGATCACGGGCCTTTGTCCGACGCATCTAGAGAGCGCCGCTCCCGCAGCGCTCCAATAGAGGCCGAGGCAAAGGCAAGGCCAAGCGCCAGGATCAGGACGAGGGCACCTCCATACAGAGGGGAAAAAAGAACAGAAAAGATCGCCGCCGACTGGCCAACTCCGCGTTGGTCGCCACGACTGATCACACGGGCAAGCAGCCCTAGCAGGACCTTCCGGGCCACTTCCATGAGCTCATGAAGAGCCCGTGCACCAACCACGCTTACCCCATCAAACACCTCTACAAGGACTACGAGCTCCTCAAGCGCCTTCTGCGACAGGCCGACGGACCGAAGGAAGAAAAAGGCGAAGAAGCAGCGGCCAAGAAAGAGGGAGTAGCGGGCAAGGATCCGGACGATTGAAGGTCGAGGTGATCCGACCGGACGCCTACTGACTGAAGGATGACAACAACAACGTTCTCATCGGCGCCTCTACATTCCAGCCAAAAAGTTGCCTTGACCGTCTCCAGGTCCCGCTCCAACGACTTCACCTTTCCGCCCAGCTCTGGAAGAAGGGCGACAAGCTCAGAAACAAGTTAAAGGAAGAAACCAACACGATGAAAAACAGAAAAGGTACGTACCGAGGCGAAAGTTCTCGAGGGCGGAGAGTCCCTCTGTCTGTCGGGCCACCTGCTCGCGCAGCCGGACGTTCGCCTCCTCCATCCCCATCATCCGGCCCCGAAGCGCGAGCACTTCCTGGTCTGCCTCCGACCGGGCCTTTTGCTCCGACTACAGGGCCTTTCGCGCCAACTCCAGGGTATTCCGCTCTGACTCCAGGGCAAATGACCCGTTCTTTTCTTGGCCCTCAAAAAAAATTTATTCTCTATTTGACACCGAGTTCAACTTTCATTCCTTATACGATAATCCGTTGAATTTTCCATCCGTGAACCGTTAACTGCCATGTGAAAAGACGATTTTACCCTGTAGGCCCAACACCCTTCTCCCTCCTCTCCTCCCTTTCTCCCTCCTGTCCGCGCCGGTATAAGACGCCAGCCCATAGACACAAGCGACCGAGCCTGACCTCTTCGTCTATCAACCCGAAACGAGATTAGATTAGACAGACTAGATAGCAAAGGCGAAGCCACGGTAACCGCCACCACCAAATCGCCACCGTCATGATGCCCCCGACGGCCACCGCGACGGCTGTCTTCCTCTCCGCGGCGCCCTCCTCTTTCTCCACCCGCAGTCGGCGCAGCCGCCTTCCTGCCATCTCCGCATCCCTTTCGCCGTCCTCCTCCTCTTCCTCCTCCGGTAAACCCAAATCCCTTCCTCTCTCACCACCATTTCGCCCCCTAATCTGAACTACACGCCGCGTGTCCAGATGAGCCGCTGCTGGTGCGCGCGGCGCGGGGCGAGGACGGCCTCCAACGCCCGCCCGCGTGGATGATGCGGCAGGCAGGGCGGTACATGGCGGAGTACCAGGCGCTGGCCAGGCGCCACCCCTCGTTCCGGGAGCGTTCCGAGAACACGGACCTCATCGTCGAGATCACGCTGCAGCCGTGGCGTGCCTTCGCGCCCGACGGCGTCATCCTCTTCTCGGACATACTCACGCCCCTGCCGGCCATCGGGGTGCCGTTCGATATCTTGGACTCCAAGGGGCCCGTGATCCAATCGCCAGTGCGGTCCGAAGAGCAGGTGAGGGAGCTCGTCCCCATCGACCTTGATATGCTCGAGTTCGTCGGGGAGTCACTAAAGATTCTGCGAAATGAGGTAATGCCCGTATGGCCGTATGCATTTTATTATGCTACATAAAGCTTGGTTCCATTGAGTTACTTGTTGTAGTGCTCTGGGATTACTAAATGATAGTACTAGCTATAAATGTACAATGTATTATGATGAGTCAACGCTTGTGTTGGCATTTGACCTACCAGATGCATTCATGTGTGAAGGATTCAAGTAACATTAGATTCAGTGCTGCATGTTGGTAGTTACTGGTTAGTGCTAGCCTCATGCTGGAATAGTTGGTCATTAGTGCAATCCCGATGCAGTCGTACTTTAATTATACCCTTACTATCACAAATTTGGTGCACTTTGGTAGCTTCAAGAGTGTTTTGGCTGCTTATGAATCCCTAAAGCTGAAAAGAAATTTCAGGAAAAAGAGGTTGCTACGGTTGTTTTATTGCAGGTCTTGATCGATTATGTGTTAATGAGAAAACCTTGACATATTTGAGGTATCTCCTCGGAAAATCAACATGATTTTCCAACGCTTTCAACTTCTGAAACATGCTACACTGTTTCTTAATCTCCCTGGACATTGATTGTGTCTATGAAATGCTTATTATTTGTTATTATCTGAATTATATATTTATGCCAGTGATTGTTTGAAATCTCTGCTGGTACACTATGCCAGTTGGGCATTTCAATTTAAAAATATTAGTAATTAGTGAATTGTGAACCTGCTCAAACATCAGTAAACCTATTAATGTAGTATATTCAACCCAAAATCATATTCTTGTTATTCTCATTGTTGAATATTCTGCTGACAGTTTTATTCTCATCGCAATATATATATACTTATGAACATCAACAGTTTATTTATGAGTGCTGTTTTATTGATACGAATTGGATTGAGTATAGTTCAGCAAAGCATTCTGCCCTACACTTCCTTTGATGCTTATAAATCTTGTTTCCTCTTCTATCCTCTAGATTGATGGAAAAGCTGCTTTGCTAGGATTTGTGGGGGCCCCATGGACAATTGCAACTTACGTTGTTGAAGGGGTGATGACCAACACATACACAAATATAAAGAGCATGTGCCATACAGCTCCAGATGTCTTGAGGGGCCTTCTATCTCATCTTGCACAAGCTATATCTGACTATATCATTTACCAAGTTAACTCTGGGGCCCAGTGTATACAGATATTTGATTCATGGGGTGGACAACTTCCACCTCATGTGTGGGAGCAGTGGTCAAAACCATATATCAAACAGGTGACTCTTCCTTACTTTCTTGCTTTCATGTATTACCAACTTCATGGTCGGTGGCGTTGCTATGTATCTGCACTGTCTTATAGTACAACATTGATGGTTCTCACTAAATGCTCTAAAGTTCAGTATCTCCTAAGAACTACTCTTGTTATGCTTATACCGAAATGCTTCTCACATGATTAATTGCATTAATCCCCTGCAATTTCTGGTACCACATTGCAAGACTTGTTATGGTTATGACCACAAGTTCCTTATAACCATGAAAGTGGAATCTAGAAAGAGCCAATCTCTCAAAATAACCATTAGCTGGTGTTTACATCAGCAGCATGTTATCAGTCCACATGGATTTGGAATTTTAGATACTGTATGTTCCTGTAATTTGGTTTGCATATCTTCAAGACTGCAACTAGCACAGTGTATATAACTGCCTTACTTGGTCATAATGGTAATTTCCACAAGCCTGGTGTATTTAGAAGGAAAAATCCAGAATTTCATCTTGACCTTGAAAAATGTGCAAAATATCATATAGCTTGTAGACTGTTATTTAGAGCTCAATTAAAAGATTTCATGCAAAGTTTTGATTTACTGATTCTGTTCATTAAGCTTTTCCTTTTCTTCGACAGATTGTGAGTAGGATTAAGAAAGAGTGCCCTCATGTACCCCTTGTGTTGTATATAAATGGAAATGGAGGTTTACTTGAGCGCATGAAGGACACAGGAGTTAATGTTATTGGGCTTGACTGGACAGTGGACATGGCTGATGGAAGGAGGCGCCTTGGTAATGGAATTAGTGTACAAGGGAATGTGGATCCAGCATTTTTGTTTTCACCATTACCAGTACTGACTGATGAAATTCATAGGTTAGTTAAGGTTCAAATATTTCCATTTAATTTATTTATGTTATTTTGAGTTTTTGGTTAATGCTCATGTGCAATTCATTAATGAGATCACCTAAAGTGCTGCCTGAGTAGTATACATCTTCATGTCAGGTATGATTGGTTGCCTGCACTATGATAAACCTGCATTACACCCTATGCAGCATAGCCTTAACCTGTATAACTGCATGCAATGAGGTGTGTTTGGTTTGCTTGCATAGCACCTTTTCGTTGTAGGAGATTGTGTTTGGTTGCTTGCATCGAGTTGGATGCAGTCACCTCTTTGTTACTGTGGTAGGCCTAAACTCTATCACCTCATTCCTTCTTCAACCTCCATCTCCCTCATCCTTTCTGCCGTTCCAGGTCATATGACATGAACAACATCATTGCCACCTCCGTCCCCAAAATCCAAAGCGGCAGGCCTTCCTTCTCCTTTTGCTCTCTCTGCTGCTCCTCCTGCTAATTACAAATCGTCTCCTTGGAAAACAGTTCATCTTCTCACGGCCAGCAGTCAGCCCAAATTCGACACTTGTCCAATTGACTGAAGCTGCAAATCGAGTTCCCTCTCAGCGTTATTTGAATCCCAAATCTGTGTATTTCTTCCCAATTCGTCCTCTCACGGCCTGGAGATGGATTAAAATAATATTGATTCCCTACTCCGCACTTCTTCATGGCTTGGAGTTGTGATCCAACTCTTGCAAATCGAGTTCTCACAGAGCGCTTGTTCCCTGTGCCGTACTTCTTCACCGCCGCCGGAGGCCTCAAGACGGATCCCACTCCAGCGTTGCTCCTCCAAGCCAGGTGCTTGCCAGTTCCATCTGTGTGTGGTTCCCCAGCGTTGCTGCGCATGCTTGTCTCCCTTGTGGCCGCCCGCAGCCCGCTCGTGGACGAGCTCCATGCGTGAGGCGAGCTCCTGCAGCTCGTCGCGTTGCTGTGCGTGCTCAACCCTTGCGTCTGTGTGCCCTCGCTCGAGTCTGCGCTCCGCATTGGCTACTACGACCGCAAGTTGGTGGTAGACACGCTGCTTGCTGGCAGCTCTCTCTTGGCCTGCATCCATGTATGCGACTAAATTTTGCGTACTCGCCCCTTTTTGCACTGCGGTATGCTGCATATGACTAAGTCCAACCATCCAAACAAAGGCCACCTGCACTATGGGGGCCTGGATAAGCGCTTATGTACCACCAATCAGCCCCGTCATGTATTTGTGTTACACCATCGTAACAATGATCTTCTCAGTAGTTATCAATCTTTGATCATTAAGTTCAGCTGTACAGTTTGCAAAGCTCATCTCGTTTCTGATTCAAACCATCAGTTGTGTACCAAACTATCCCCTGTGTATTCAAGAAAAAGGTTGTGTACTAATTACCAAACCACCAATGGATGTTCGTCCTTAGATCTATTGAACCATTGACCGAAGAATAGGGAATAAATGATTACGTCACGCAATCTTAGGGTGTTGCTGTATCTTTCTGCATGTTTTCAGTTATATCATGAATCATGTATAGCATCATTAAGCCTTACTGCTTGTTTTATGTTGCATGGGGGATGGTAATGGTTGGTGCACAAGCATAAATGGGCTTTGCCTCCAGTCCTTACATTCCAATTTCCTTTTTAGGATTAGTTGCTATGAACTGCTAATGATTTTTGTCTCTTACTGCCTGCTCTGCAGGGTTGTGAAAGCAGCTGGTCCAAAAGGTCATATACTTAACCTGGGCCATGGTGTACTTCAGCAAACACCCGAAGAAGCTGTAGCACATTTCTTTGATGTCACAAGGAGCTTGAGATATGACACCCTTTTCCAAGGTTCTGTTGCTGAAGAATTGCTGCCTGTTGCTTGACAGCGGCAATGGCATTCCCATTTTTCATCAAGTGGTCTATTTGATCTGCCATATGTATCATTTTAGAGTCGCAGTAGATTCCTAGTGCTGTCTGCATTCTACCTTTCAAGAGACACTCATTTTGTTGAAGCCTGAATATGTCTTGTAGAGATATCGGCAGCAAATCAAATGCAATTTTATTCGTTGTTTGTCTGTTCCATTATTCTTCTGACTGAAGAAGGGATGCAAGATGCATGCAACCTGGTTTTGAAGAAGAGCTAGGGATAGGGCTGGATAGCGGCTCGCTTAACGAGCCAGAAAGCTAGCTCAGCTCGGCTCATATGAGCTGGCTCGTTTAGTTTGCGAGTCAGGTATAAAAAAACACTCACAACATAATCTATACATTTATGTGAAGCTTGAGAATAGTAATAATACAAAAGGGACCCATCCATAAGGCTCAAATCAAACAAATAAATTATATGTTCTGACATGTGATATATATTGTACAATAACAACAATAAACTATAGTACTACACCGTACATCTATGATCCATACGCTATACCATACATAATGCATCCATATCTGTTATTGAAAATTGATTATCCATATATCCATCTAAAACAAAGTGATAGTCATACTAATCCCAAATTTACATGATCTAGATCAAGCCATCAATCATTTGTAAAGTGCAATGCATCAAGTCATATAAAACTAATACAAGTTTAACACCAATAGCTTTGGCTCGTTAGGCTCACTTGTTAACTACACGAGCTAAAACTAATACAAATTTAAGACCAATAGCTTTGACTCGTTAGGCTTGCGAGTCGTTAACTACACAAGCTATAGCTTTGGCTTAGTTTGTTGAAAAATATAAATAAAACAAGTTGAGCAGTCGAGCGAGCTACCGAGATGCGAGTTTTTAGTCCAGTCCTAACAGAGGAGGATGTGGTGGATTGTCCATATTCTTCTTTTGGAGCCCCAGCATCTGCTATTTCTACAATTATAATAAATGGTCCTAGAAAATACTATAGTTTCCTGACGTTAACTAACCTAAAACGTAGCTAACATGGTATACTATAGATGAAGAGAGATGATGAAAGTTTTATGAATGAAATGAGTTTAGGGGGGGTTCTAAAACTCATATACACTGTTTTCAACCCATGAGTCCTTTTTTTTAAAAAAGGTCATGCTCGAAAATGGTTGCTCTTACTAATAAACATTTTAAAATATCAATTTACATACAATGGATAAAAATACACTATTTCTTCCTTATTAGAACACATTAAAAGGTGTCCTTACAAAGCTAACACTACGTGCATTTGTATTATTATAATATAGTAACTTATAAGTGCTCTCCATATGAAGAGTGGTCAATAGGTGGCAAATCTCAGTTATGATCTCCATGATGTTCAAACTACTGCGTCAGCTGTCAGCATAGAATCCTACTATATTAGTTTTTTTTCCTAATGTTATGTCTCTCCTGTTCTTGTTTTTTAAACAATCGCCCTGTTCGTTTGGGCTGGTTTGGCTTATAAGCCATGGCTGAAAGTGCTGTTGGTTGGTTTGGTGTGAGAGAAAAATACTGTTCGTTGGCTGATAAGCTAAATACGACCAAGCGGATAGACTGAATGGTGTAGTCTCTTTTCCTTGTTAATGCAATGATGATATAGTGGCTTGTTGGCGTATCTTTTTAGTGATCTTCTGTGCCGCAAAATTCTAGTGAATTTTTTCATTGGTAAGGGGGCATATTTTCTCATATAGTGAAGTGCTAAGCAGCTCAATCGCATTTAAATGACATAGATGATAAATTTTGCCAAACTATTATCTCATCTGTTTTTATTATAATAAATAACATGCGGCCTCATCATTGGTAGATCATTCCCCACACTAGTGACCACGGATCCACCTACGTGCATGTGATCCTTGTTTGTTACACACGGATACAAAGATGATTTGACTGACAGTTGTGCCCGGCACAGCACGGCCCCACAGGTCAGCTAATCGCATCGGCGAGACGACGACGTCTCATTTGGCTCCTTCGGCGGACGCACCACTCCGGCCGCATCGTCTGAACTGGACTGGGAGAAGGGCGGCGTGACACGCGACGGCGCGAGACAACCCAGCGCCGTTGCGGGGCTCCTCCTCTTCCTCTTCCTCTTCCTCTTCCTCCTCCGCCGCCTCCTCGCCGTCGTGGAAAGCATCCACGAACTCTGTGATGTCGCTTGGAGGTGAGACGAACTTGATCGGCGTCGATGGAGTCCCCTGTTCCGCTGGAGTGGTCGGCATAGCACTGGAGTGCTCGGCACCCTGGCTGCAGTGCTCGGCACTACTCTTGGACTTCTCGTCACCACTCCTGGAGTGGTTGGCACCACTGCAAGAGTGCTCGGCACCAGTCTTGGAGTGGTCGGCACCTAAAGATGGCAATGGGGACCCGCGACCCGATACCCGACGGGTATTTACTCCATTAGGGTCTAAATATGGACTAAGCACACTACCCACGGATACATAAATGGACCAAACCCTTCACCTATCGGGTACGCGGGTATGGGTATGTTCCAGCAATCCCCGTACCCGTTTACCCATGGGTGAAAATACCTGGCCCAAAACTAAATAAGCCCACCAGCCCATGTTAAACCCTAGGTTCACCCGCCGGTCCCGCCTGGCGACTTGGCCGCTAGAGCCCTTGACCGCTCGAGGGAGCCCTTGAAGGCCGAAAAAATAGGCGCGTGAGTAAAGCGCGTTGTTACCTCGTCTCGGCGCTGGCAGCCTGGCACCGCAATCACCACTTGCCAAAAAAATGCAACCGCCGTCGAAAAAAAAAACTATGCCACCTGCCCGTCCCTCGTGACCTCGTCTCGGCGTCTCGTGTATTCGCATCGCATCGAAGCGCCAGGAACTCGCCACGCCATGCCAGCGACGGAGCAACTCGAGCAAGAACGGTGATTGCCCTGTTCCCCTTCCCCTAATCCCCTTCATATCATATTCTTTGCACTTGCAAGCGACCATCATGTTTGTTGAATTGTTGTCCTACATATGTTCACTGCAATGAACTTGGAGATTTATTTATGTACCCCTTTTGGCTATGTAATATACTGATTTATGACAGAATGATTTTGTGTGATGGTGTAATATGACTGCTGGTTGCAGAAGATATTATTATATGTTATTATTTGTCTAATTTTATGTGCTCTGGTTAGTGATGGTTGCTGATGAATTGTTGATTTTCATGTGCGTGAATAAATTATTGGCGGGTACGGGTGACCCGTCGGGTATGATTTACCCAGCCGGGTATGGGTCTGGGGAAAATTCCCCACCCATGGCGGGTATGGGTATTCTGGCGGTACCAAATTTTTATAGCGGGGATGGGTCTGGGGTGGCCATACCCGATGGGGATTTACCCATTGTCATCCTTATCGGCACCACTGCAAGACCTCTCGGCTCTGCTACGGAAGCATTCGGCACCCGTCCTGGAGTGGTCGGCATCACTGTAGGACCGCTCGGCACCACTCCTGGAGTGCTCGGCACCTCCTCCAGAGTGCTCGGCTCTGTTTCTGGAGTGGTCGGTGCCTCCTCTCCAGCGTCTCCACCACCGTGGATGACTAAGTGCTCGACGACGAAGGTGTTGGTGAAGCCGCCAGCTTCCCCCGTTCCCAGCATGTCCCAGTCCCAGTCCGCCTTCTCGTTGAACACGACATCGAGCGAGACAACCACCTTGCCTCCGTGTGGGTCATAGAGCCGGTACGCCTTGGTACCTTCCTCGTAGCCTAGGAGCACCATCGGTGTGCTCCTGTCCTCCAGCTTGGTGAGGACCGGCTTCGTTTTCCTGACGTGGCCGATGCAGCCGAATGTCCGGAGTAAGGACACGCTCGGCTTGCGTCCATACCAAGTTTCGAACGGCGTCACGCCCTTCAGGGCCTTTGTGGGCGCGCGGTTGAGGATGAACACCGCCGTGGTCACCGCCTCACCCCAGAACCTTGCCGGCATATTCTTGACCTTCATCATGGATCGAGCCATGCCGACCACTGTCTGGTTCCGCCCCTCCACCACGTCATTCTGCTGTGGCGAGTACGGCGCGGTGTGGTGTCGCACCACACACTGACCCGCGCAGTACGCAACGAACTCAATCGAAGTGAATTCGCCGTCGCGATCAGTCCACAGCACGCACAGCTTCTTGCCGCTCTCCACCTCTGCACGCGCCTTGAACTTCTTGATTGCTTCCGCCGCCTCGTCCTTGCTCGTCAGGAGTTGCAGCCACATATAGCGACTGCAATCATCCATGAGTAGGAGGAAGTACCGCCGACCACCGTTTGCGGCTGGCGTGATTGGTCCGCAGAGATCGTCGTGGACGAGCTCGAGAGCATCCGTCGCGCGATACTTGGCCGCTTTTGGGAACGACAGCCTCCTCTGCTTCCCGGCCAGGCGAGCTGTTGAGTGCGACGTCGCTATCAGGAGAGTGGCCTCATCATCATCATCATCAGCCTGCGCTAAATGAGCCTCAGCCTTCTTCTCATGCTTACGATTTGGGCACTCCTTTGCCCAATGGCAAGTCTTCCTGTAGCGCCGGCAGGCGTTGGGGTCGACCTTCTTCTTCTTCACCGGAGAAGCCTTGCCGCGGTGCTTGCCATCGTCACCGCGGCTGGAGGAGGCTTCCCCGGACTTCTTCATCCGAGCAGCCCACTCCTCCTTTGTCAGTAGCAGCTTGTCGCTGTCCGTCGTTGTTGTGGCCTGCTCTATGCACTTGTCCACTGACCGCAGATGGCCTGTCACATCCTCAATGGTGAGGGTGGACAAGTCTAGCATCGTCTCTATGGAGAGAGCGATCTGGATGTACTTCACCTGAACGGAGTGGAGGTACTTGGAGACCGCCTCTTCTTCGTCGATGGTGACGCCGTGGCTCCTCAGCTTGCTGATGAGCGACTGCAGGCGCAGGAAGAAGTCCTCCACTGACTCACCATCCTTGAACTTGAGGGTGGCGTACTGTTGCTTCAGCAGCTGGGCCGTCGCCTTCTTTGCGCGGTCG